GAATTCTTTTCAATTTATTTTTCATACTACCAATAAACCTATCGCACTGCTAGTTTTATACTATCACTGGACTACTCTGTCGTCAAAATACTAGTACCAGATAAAATAACTAAGACGTGCTAATGTTATCAAGGTATTCATATTTTATCATAGCAACACTAAATGCTATGTGACTTTTATTTCTGGAGTTAATTTTATGTTGATGTTATCATTGCTAATGTATCAAAGTCTACGAATATTCGATGCTTGTATAGAGCTTACTTAAATATAAAGTGATTTATTGCACAATGCCATAGAATTAAATCAATGTGTCATCTAAAGCACTAAACTATTATCCTTTTCAATGAACGGTGCACTCCGATATTTTGCGAATAACTTTTGAACAACAAAAGTTAGAGTCCTCCGGCTTTTAGTTTCTTACACCAGACACCAGGGAACATAGATCTATGAAATAACGAAGCTTCCAGAACAGGTACCTTTCGAAGGGAAAAGTCCAAGCTCACCATTTGTAGACCTTACATAGTAAGTTAGGCTCAAAAGTGCAGAAAACTCAATGATACGTTGAAAGGTTTTTCAGAATACCCATGAAGATCTTCACGGGAAATCTAAGTATGAAAACAACTTTTAACCCTCCTAATCTGTGCACCAGGGAAAACTAAGTTTATTTTGAAAATTTGAAGCAATTTTGTTGAGACATGACGGTGCGATAAGATTTTTAATTTAGTACGGTCACGGTGGTAAAGTTGTATCTTCTGAAAAATTGGCCTTTCGCTGTTTCCTTAATGCAGACAGCAAAACAAACATAGCCACAGTAATCAGCATGTCCGATAGCCTATGTGCTATGTGTTTTTAAGGTTTTTAGTGCTCAGGTTTGGCCGATAGGTAGGTCCTCGGGGATGGCCTGTGGTGTAGGACTTGTGTCATTGTAAAGATGGAAGTCTCTTCTATATAACAGATAAATTTTGAGCCTAGCTCACTATGCAAAGTCTACGAATGGTGAGCTCGGACTTTTTCCTTCGAAAGGTACACCATGATAGACCTGTTCTGGAAGCTTCATTATTTCATAGATCTATGTTCCCCAGTGTCTGATTTAAGAAACTAAAAGCCGGAGGACTCTAACTTTTGCTGTTCAAAAGTTATTCGCAAAATATCGGAGTGCACCGTTCATTGAAAAGGATAGTAGTGTTTGTTATCTATTTTACATCCAGGTCTCAGCTTGTTTTTTTATGTTGTAGACGCTTTATATTCTAATACAATGTATTGTTAGTAACATTTTGCTACATTTGAGATGCCACTTACAAAAAGACAGAATAGCTGCGAAGACAATGAAGTTGATAGGTAAGTTTACACTTGATGATGCACATTTATTGAGTAAAGAAAAATTTCTTAGTTGTGTATTTTAGTTTGAATAAACGCTTCAAATTAGCTGAAAATGTTGTAAATCAATCATCGCCATTTCTGCTCACGTCAGCAAATATTCCTCACACTGTGAATAAATCTCTAATAGAATTAATCCTAATGTTGTCGAGTATTCTTATTTTATCATTGCAACACTAAATGTAAAAGATCTATCACATCATAGTAATCATAAGTCTTTAGAACCAAATATTCCTTTCTGTGCGTTTTGTAGACTCTTGAAATTCTTGATTATTATGTTACGTAAAACATTTGAAGATAATGTAGAATCACATCGGTACTTTACGCTTCTTATTTTTGAAATTAAACATCTTTACGTTTCATTATGCTTTTACTTCAAATAAACGTTTGAAAATTAGTGATGATGGTCCAAATGAATTATCATTGATCAATCCACTATCACCATCATCAACGGTAAATAAAACGAGAGAGTATTGTTACTAAGACAACTAGTTCAAAATGTTACATTCAAATGTATTTAATTTTAGATGATTACACGCCTGGAAGATTTGTCTTGTGAATTATTTTTATGTTTATTTGATTATCTTGATTGTGACATTTTATTTCAAGCGTTTTATAATTTAAATGAACGAATAAATCAAATTATCTGTCGCAAACAATTTTATCTGCTTACCTGATTTATATAGAACATCAGAAATATGTTTGAAACATCTAGATTGTATTTCATATCAGTTAGCATCATTGAAATTAATATTTTATGCTGAATATTCTCCAGATTGTTCTTTAATTGAACAATTTTCATCATTACTATGTTCATTAACATTATCAGGATTATAATCATCTTTCATACAAAAAACAATTTATAAACTATAACAATTAAAAAAATTATCATATTTATCAATCGACTTTGGTTGGATTATTGAAGATGATGGAAATTGTGAAGATATAATCAAAATTATATTTAAAAATGAACGACTAAGGTAATTCCAGAAGATTTTGAAAGATGAAAAAAGCAGTTAGAAAAAAGCAGCTGGCAACGAAATAAGTATATCTACACGAGTTAAACTAAATGTATATATGGCGGAGCCAGTAAACTTGGGGCAGTAGGCTTGGATCTTCCTTGATTTTACAAAATCAAAACATGCGAAAAACAGATTTTTCAATACGAACATTAGCACGTCTTAGTTATTTTATCTGGTACTAGTATTTTGACGACAGAGTAGTCCAGTGATAGTATAAAACTAGCAGTGCGATAGGTTTATTGGTAGTATGAAAAATAAATTGAAAAGAATTC